ATATATATATATATATATATATATATATATATATATATATATATATATGATGAAAGAAAGAAAGAAAAAAAGAAAAGAGAGAGACAGATAACCTTTACACATACAGAGAGAAATGCATATTCACTTTATGTAAATATTAATAGAGGGGTAGTGCGGCTTTACACCACCACTGCTATTACTACAACCACCGAAAAATAATAATAATAATAATAATAATAATAATAATAATAATAATAATAACGAACTCACACGGAGAAACAATATTTATTTACGGTGAAGTATAACAAAAACAATAAAGCTTGAAATTTATCCGTACTAACAACAACAAGAACAACAGACTACGAAGGTGTAAAACAACAACAACAAAAAAGAAGAAAACAAAAAAATCAAGCTTGTTCTCATTTCTCCACCGTCTTTTCGTTTTCTCCATAGGAAGGACTTCCATCGTTTCGTTCAGTTTCATCTGTATCGAGATCAGGAATCCTATCTAGGCGTCGTCTTGCGAAGGTAAGATACGCACTATGTCCTTTCGATACCAAAGCCGGTCGAAATTTAAAGCGTAATGACTGTGGATCATCCTCACGAGCACGTTTATGTATGGGTTTCAAGTACTTTGTCAGCGCTTCCACGGTGCGAATATCAATAAACTCAAATGGTTCTTGTCGTAATCGTTCCGCCGTCCTTTGCGATTGCTCAATACATGGTGAAAAGGTACACAACATACCTCCTGGACGAAGAACATGCAAGACATTCTCAATTGCCTGCCAAGGTGCGGGAAGATCCAAAAAGACGGCATCCACATGATGTTGTGGAAGTCCAAAACCGCTTTTGGGGTTATCATACGCATTTACATCTTCTTCCACTGCTTTACTATCAATACCAGCAATGATAGAGTTATCATCACACGCAGTAGTGCAAACATCTCGCCAATTGCATGCCACCAGTGATGATGGTAATCCATTGCGAAGAAACTCCTGTCGCGCCTCCAGACATCGTCCCTTATGGAAGTCAAATGTGTAAACAATGCCATTGGGAGCAACTGCCTTGGCAAGCGCATGTGTGAGGGAACCACTGCCAGTACCCGCTTCGGCAACGCGACAACCCGGGCCCAAACGCAGATTAAACACAATTACGGCAATATCGGTGTCGTAAATAATCTGTGTACGATGTGGAACTGCCTGTGTCCACAGGTCTGAACTGTTTTGCAGTACAAGCATGCTGGGAGCGGGGCGTGTATCATCTTTAATATTGCTGCGGCCCACAACACGGGTACCGTACGGCCGTCCAATAATGTCATCATGGCGAAACTTTCCCTCCTTGCAGTGGAGTATAGCCCCCTGTTGTAGTATTAGCGGGGTGATGTTGAGATGCCCGCGGAAGAGTAGAGCGACATCGCCCTCGGCCGCAATGGCTCCTCTCGGTGCTAACATTGTCACACTGTTTAAAAACAAAAAGAAAAAAAAAGAAAAAAAAAAAAAAGAATAATAGTAACAATTATTACTATAATGACAATTATAGTATGAATAAAAGTAAGAAAATACGTGCGACTATTTGTCTTTGTTTTTTTTCTTTTTTTACATTCTTCTGCATGTATCTGGGAGTCTCTCTCTCTCTCTCTCCCTCGCTCTGTTTATGCATATGCATAAACAGAAATGCATGCGATACCACCCTGGTGTTTTGTGTGTCTTTTTTTTTTTTCTTTTCTTCTTTCCCCTCAGGCAGAGGAAGATAAAAAACGATAAAAAAAAAAAAAAAACGTACTGAAGTAATTCCAAAACAGCAAATCAACATTCAGGGCATATTAGAAGAAAACCAAAAAAAAAAAAGCATCATGTACAGACGAAAGCGAAAATATAAAAATAACACTACAAAAGTAACTCTTCAAAATATACAATAGAGGAAACATGATTCAATGTTTGTGCATATATTACTGTTAATATTTGCAATTATTGGTCTGATACATAACGTTGAATAGAAGCACTAAGTTCACGATGATTTGGTGGAGGTGCGGCAAAATCTAATAATATTTGACTCCATTTTTGCATAATATCTCCTGGTAATTTTTGATTTTCAGGATTTTCATGCAAATCTCTCTTTTGTGGTGAGACTTTTCTCCTACTTTTCTTTTCATCTACCTCCTTTTCCTTATAAGTTTCAAGTTGATTTAGGCGGGATTGTCTATGATTATTACGATGCTTCTGAATTGGCGGACTATGTCGGTGACTATCACGATGATGATTATCATGACGACTATGATGATGTTGGCGTGGAGAGAGATTATCTGTGGTCGTTTGTCCTTTGGCTAATTGCCCGGTGAGATGCTCAAGACGGTTGCCAAGTACTCCAATAAGAGTGAGGAGTTGTACATCTACAGTACTCCCTTCCACAGCCTCAGATACATGTTGATCCCCATGATTGACAGGGGATGGAGCCCGACTGGCGTTACGAACATCATTATGCCACTCTTCACGAGCGGCGCGAAGGGCCCCACGACGCATGGTTAATTCTCGCTGTTGTTCATTTAAGAAACGCAATGCTTCTGAAGAAAATGGGCTAGAATGCATATTATTTTTATTGGAAAGTTGCAATGTAGGAATGTTAGATGTTTCGGGAAATAAACTACCTCCAAGCAGATGATCTTGTTCTTGTTGTTGTTGTGGCTGCTGCTGCTGTTGTTGTTGTTGTTGTTGTTGTTGTTGATAATTATAAATTGGTGTTTGTTCAGGTGGTACCACAGGTATTTCCCCTATTTTTCCAATTTCGATTCTTATAGAATCCAATTTTTCTTGCAACTTTTGTTCTTGTTCTGCATACATCCTTGTTATGGAACTAAGACGACCCTGTAGCTCCTCTAGCGGAACTCCAGGAACTTCTTGCGCCATTCGCTGCGCCTCTTCTTCTTCCTCTTCTTCTTCCTCTTCTTCTCGTTGTTTTTTCTCTAACTCTCTTCTTTTCTGCTCTTCCTCTTCTAATTGCCTTGCAGCAGCAGCTGCTGCTACTTCTGCTTCTGCAGCTGCCAATCTTTCCTGTGCCGCTGCACATGATCGCTTCTCCGCTTCCTCACGCATCTGCGCCTCTGCGGCGATGGCGCGTTCCTTCTCTTGCCCCTCCACTTCAGATCGCTGCTGTTCGGTGTACTTCTGCAACTCCGTTTCCACTTCTGCGGTGCGTGTTTGGCGCTCGTCGGCGTAACGGCGGCGGAGTTTCAATTCGGCCCCGTCCGCCGCCCGCATCCCCATCAGCCGCCGGCGGAGTTCCGTCGCCCGCCCAAAGACCGCCACCGCCCCCGCCGCGGCTGCCCGAACCCGCTCGGCCTTTGGCGCCGCCGCCAACTCGAACTCCTCCTCAAGCGTCGTGCGCAGAAATGTCTCCAGCTCTTGGAGGGCCGCCGCCTTTTCTGCGAGAATGGCATCATTCGCCGCTCGGAGTTCCGCCTCCGATGGGCCATCCACCACTTCTTTTCCCTCTTTAGCGATCCCCGCGGTTGGTGTAGTAGCAGCCGTCGTAGTGGCAGTCGTAACAGCCGTCGTAATAGTAGTGGATGATGTGGCCATTGGGGTTGGAGGTGTAGATGTTGTGGGCGTCACCCGTGGTCGAATTATGGCGGCAAGTTGCTTTCGACGATCTTCCCCTAATGCACGCATACGCCTTGTTTCCTCCGCCTGTACACGGTCACGTACCTCCTTAAATATATCAAGCGAGGAAGAGTCACCACTAGTTGCGTTAAGTGAAATACTAACAGGTCCCTCAAGTTCACAAAGTTCCCTACGTAAACGGCGAAGTGTTGCTTCCATGCTTGTTCGAAGCGCTGCTTGATCCTCTTTTGATTTTTTTACAATATCATCAATCTCCTTCTTCTCCTTCTCTTGTATCTCAGTAACGATAACTGTTTCTTTTGATACTTGTTTTGTTGGATCTACTGTACTCTCACTAGTTTGCTGCATTTCATCCCTATATTTCTTTTCAAGAGCTTCCATTTCCGCTTCATGACGCTTCTCCGCCGCTTCCTTCAGTTGTTTTATCTCTTCTTCTAGTCTTTTTTGTATTTCATTCTTATTTGCCACAAATTCAGCATGTGTCTCACGCCTCATTTTTTCTATGGATTCCTTTGTTTCCAACTCGATTTCTTTTTGTAGATGCTCAAATTTCTCTTTTTCAGTATTTTCTGCCTTTGCTACTTCACTTGTAATACGTCCCTTGTAATCCTCCTCTAACTTCATTAGTTGTTCTTGTAAATCTTTTTCCTCCTGTCTCGCTTTGCCAAGGATGGGAGACCACTTTTCTTCCAGTTCCTGTTGTTTTTTATTAAGGGATGCCTCCTTGCTTGCTGCAATTTTATCACGTATATCTTGCAATTTTTTCTCATATTCTTTCTGCAGATTACTAAGTTCAGTTATCCGAGTCCGGCGCATTTCTTCTAGACGCTCTTGCTGCAAGGCTTCAGCTTTTTTTTCCTCCAGTTTAAACTCTCTCTCACGTTCCTGTCGAATTTTCTCTTCAAGATTCTTCTCCGCCTCTGATACAATTCTCCTCTCGCTACTACATATCGGAGTTGTCTGCTTTGACCCATCAGCACCTATTCCACTTCGCGGAGAGGTGAGTGGGGTAGCAGTATTGATAATCGTAGGATTTCCTACTACCGATGGCACACCAACAGTTGGTGTTTTAAATAGAACGGAAGCAGTTCCTACAGTCCCTTTTGTGTTACTCAGCGATGAAGTAACTATAGAAGGAGAAGGAGAAGAAGAAATAGTAACGCGTGTATTTCCCGATAGGTCACCAATACCACTAGATGATGGGTTTCGCACAGTAGAGGTAGGACCACTAATACCACTACTATTGTTACTACTACTACTAGCAGTAACACCAGCAGTAGAACTAGTTTTTAAACTATGACGTGTCGCTTCATTTTCTTTTTTACGCTCTTTTTCCTTTAAAAATTTTTCCCGATAAAATTCATCCATCGGATGATTCCACGTACTTTCACCTGTTCTAAAGTTAAAGTAATAGATTTCATCTTCATTTGTACGGCATGGTTTCCAGTCCTTAGGTAGTGGTGCTTTTAATCCTTCCCTTGCAATATACAGAAACTCCTTGTCTTGTGGAAGTTGCATTCCCATCCACGTGGCGAACTCCTCAATTTCCTCATCTGTTGGTTCATAGTTTTCGTCCATCTTATCATCCAAGACAACAGAGACAACACCATCATCACCAACAAACGTCTCACCAGCCGCAGGAATCGCAACCTGTGACTCTGACTGTAAAGAGCGAAGTTGCGACATTGCGTGTCACTGCTGTGAGGGGCAAGCCACTGTATATATATATTATGGTTTTCAAAAGAAAAAAAGGGGAAAAGATATAAAGAAAGAGATAAAAATCAAGGTACTTGTGTTTGATACTTAATTCTCGTGCAGTTTGTAACGTAAAAAAAATAATAATAATAATAATAATAATAATAATAATAATAATAATAATAATAATAATATGTAGAACCTTACAATAAGATAAATACAAATGAAAGAAAGAAAAGGACAGAGTCATCCTAATCCTCTCATTTACAACTTTGCTGAGCTTTCTGATTTAAAGAAGGCCCACACCCACACCCACACACATACAGATGAAAATATATGTATGAGGTAAAAAAAAGCAAGACACACAATCAAGGATATTCTTTCACAAACACAACCACTACCACCATCATTATAATCATCAGTACCAACTCCCTCTATGTGAGATTTAATCATGTGAAACGATTTTTAGATATAATCTATAAACACAAACTCTTTTTCTCCTTAATGTAACTCTATGTTTTTATTGTCTTTTTTTTTTTCTTTTTCTTTTTTTTTTGTTTTATTCTTACTTAGGTGATAGGAGTTTATACTCCCTGCTGCTGCTGCTGCTGCTGCTGCCATAAAATGAACACACACTTACACAGATGCATAAAAAGAAGGAACAATAAAAGACATCTCTTATTACTGCTTTGTAACGTCAGGGTTATAGTTAGGATCAAGAAATATTTTGTTTCCCTCTCCCTCATTCATTTCTACTTCAAGTAAATTTCCATCCTTCAACATCTTTTGAATGACAAGGTTTACGTAACGCAATTCTACCTCTAACTGTGCTTTATTAAGTGAACGTACTTGTTCCATATACCATGTGATAAGATCAGTACGAGAAGGTGGATTAGATTCCCCAAGTGATTGAATTCTCGCAACTATACGATTAACAATACTAAAGTAATGATCTGCATTTATAACAGTCTTTCGAGATGCCTGTGGAGCTGCCGCTGATGAACCTGCTACTTTCTTTCCCTTTCGTCTTGTTGTAGCTGCTGGCTGTTGTTCTTTTTCACGTGACTGGATCACATTATCTTGTTGTTGTTCTTGTTGCTGTTGTGCTTGCCCTCCTTCTTCTTCTTCTTGGTGTTGTTGTTCTTCTTCTTCTTGTTGATGATGATGCCTTTCTATTGGTTCTGTCTTTATACCATGCGTTACAAGATCAAAAGAATCTGTCACCCCTACAAGTTCAACCTCCGTCATGTCTAATGTGGAAAGAGACTGTCGCATAAGCTCTAATGCTATTTCCACATGGGCGGCTTTCACATCTTCACTCAAATACAATTTCGCTGTTGCCTCTGAAAGACGTATCATACTCTCAAGAAGACGTGTAGTTACACGGTAAACTTTACTACGGTTTGAAAGTGAATCCTGTAGTCTCATATCTCGATATGCCGCAACAATAAGATGTACAGCTTCTTCCTGTAAACGAGGTGTGAGGGAACGTGCGTAGCGAAGGTATAGTTGAAAATCTTCTGTAGAGAAAGGTGGACGAACAGCACGATCTCCAAAACGATGAAGACGTAAAAGTTGATCCGCTATAGCAAAATCAGCATCATCACTTGATTCATCAACAATAACAAACATAAGATCAAAACGTGACATAATAGGTGCTGTCATAGCTACATTCTTTTGTAGAGGTTTTCGACGATCATACTTTCCTCCAATAGGATTCATTGCAGCAAGAAGGGAAGTTCTTGCACTTAATGTCGCTTTAATTCCTGCTTTTGCTATAGAAATAGTTTGTTGTTCCATCGCTTCGTGAATAGCTACTTGATCCTTTACATCCATCTTATCAAACTCATCAATACAACAAACACCACGATCACTTAACATAAGTGCTCCTGCTTCAATAGTACGATCACCAGTATCCGCATCTCGTGTAACAGTTGCTGTGAGACCACTTGCTGTTGAGGCTTTACCACTTGTATATACCCCACGTACAACATTACTAGCTACCCATTTTAAGAATTGAGATTTTGCCGTTGATGGATCTCCCACAATACAGACATTAATATCACCACGTAATCCAATCTGTTCTACTGTATGTTTCGATACCCCACCCACCATTTGTAGAAGAAGTCCTAACTTTACCACATCATGTTTAAATATATTAGGAGCGATACACTGTGTGAGAGCCTTAAGCAGATTCTCATGTCCCCGCATATGTTGCACCTTCTGTTGTTCTGCTGGAGTGAGATGAATCACCTCCCGCTCTGCTGCCCCATCCGCCGCCTCCTTCACGGCCTCCGTCATCTTTCGATCATCCCCGTTCGCGTCTGTGATGGTGGTGGCGAGAAAACACATGCGGTAGTTGAGTTCCCGCACGCCCAACACCCGCAGGCCGGTGGCGCCCTCCATGTCCTGCTGCGCCTCCCGCTGGGCCCGCTGCGCCCCCGACATCTCCCGCTGCACCTCGCGGCGGTTTGTCTGCCCAAACAACTTCGCCACCTCCGGCACCACAATCGGGCAGCCAACCGCAATGATGCGATCGCCCGGCTTCGCCACCTCCACCGCGTCGTTGCGGGCAATGAGTTCCATCGTGCGGGGCATGCACCCCTCCGGGATGTTGTTGGCATCCTCCTGCAGGCGGATCTTCTGCCAATCACCAAAGCGTGTGTGGGGGTGCGTCGGTACGAGCTGGAAGCGATTCTTATTCTCGCACTGAGCATTACGACAGGCAGGGGGTTCTGTGTAATGGAACTGTTGCGCAACAGGATTACTCTCCGTCCCACAGTCACTGCAACGAAAAACACCAACAATAAGTTCAGGTCGAACTTGCGAAGTTCTCGTCACTACACCTTTTATAGAACACAACTGTCCCACCATTGATGCACGTAGGACACGAATACTAAGACAACGTGGTACCCCAGAAAATACTAAACTAGGGTTACACTTGCCACGATTAGCAAAGTCCTCTGCATAATACTGTGACAAAACCTGATGTAATGCAAAATCCATAAATGGTGAAAACCTCTGAAAATCAAATTCAATAGCACTACTGGCTTCTTCGTCAAATAAACTAAAGTCAGTCCATCGCACTACACATGTTGACCAATCAGTGCAGGTACTAATGCGCTCAAGTTGTCGTACAATGTATTGCAGACCACTAAGGGAAGATTCATTTCTTGCGCCTGCTCCCACCATAGCTGAAGGATGCAGCGAAGGATCTACCAGGCGGCTAAGAAATATATACATGGTGTCACGTACACGTGCCCCATCAGCATCAACCTCTAGAACCACCGGTGCCTCCTCACGTGCAGCACCACTTGCATCTCCCAACAATGATGCAGGATTCATCCAGCTGATCTGTCACCTTGAAGTAGTTTTCAAACGAAAAGAAGGAGGGAAAGAGAGAGAGAAAGATGTTCAATCCACATAAATCCAAAAAAAAAAAAAAAAACCAGCACTACCTCTAAAGAGGAAACGAAGAAAAAAAAAAAAGACTCCGTTCACCAAGTGAAACACAAATGCAAATACCATCCCATGTTTTTCTTGTATTTTACTTGTTTCCCCTCCCTCACAAAAATATTTACCGTTTCACACACAAATGACGCTCATTAGAAAAAAACTGAAGCAAAAATAAGATGCACAGAAGCTGAGTGTAACACTTCTCCACAACGACGACAAACACACTCAGTCATGCATCATCAGCAAAAGAAAAATCATTTCTTTTCCCAATAGAATTCAAATAAAAAAAAAAAACGAAAAAAAGAGAAATCACTGCACTCTGGAGGAGGCGCAGGTGGTGCCATTCATTTTACCAAAGAGAGAGAATGGAACCATGCATGTTATCGTATCAGTATGCTTCCTCGTGCAGAGGTGTAAAGCAATATAGGTTAAAGTATATTAGTATATTTGTTCTTTAAATTTATCCTGTGCACACACCCATGGGAGTGGGACACCAATGAGGT